GGGAGAGGGAGAGAAGAGGAGGCACGTGCCCTTTGTTTTCAATCTCCTCCAGCTCACCCCGCAGCTGTACAGAGATCACGGACTCCGAGCTGCCGCCCACCCACTCGGCCCTCAAATCCCGCCCTCACCCCCGCAGCCACGCCCCTCCTTTACCGGTGTCGGCGTGGGAGGCAGCGAGGGCGGTGGCGGACGTGCTGGTGAACCCAGCCGCCTCCCAGAGCAGCAGCCAGGCCACCGCCTGGACCACCGCGACTGCGGCCGGGGCAGCCAGGACGGCGGGGAACGTGCGCCGGCGAGGAGCGCGCCCGGTGAAATGCGGACGGAGGAGCCTGCCTACGCTTCGCGCCGCTCCTAGAGAGCACTGCCACCGAGCCGGTCAGTGGGACGGAAGCCTGGGTGAGCGCACGCCTTCGGTCCCGCGGTTCCCCCAACTCCCCGCAGGCCCTGCCCCCGAAAGTTCCGGCGTCTCTGGAGGCTGCCGTCCGGGCCCTGGGATCGCTTCCTCGCTGCCCTGCCCCTCGCCGCCCTGGTTGGGGGCGGGGCGAGGAGAGGCGCATGCGCCGTGAGTGCACCTGCGCTGTTTCTGTGGGAACGGCCTCGTGCGCCCCTACGCGACCCTGACCCCCTCACGCTGGCTGCGGAGCCCTCTCGCCCAGCCTCCATCTTCACCTCCAGGTACTTGCGGATTCGGGCCTCCTTGCGGAGAGTTCACCCCATAGTCACGGCTGCGGGACTGTGGCCGCCGCCTCTTCCTGCACCACCAGGCCCCGCCCGGCCTCAAAGTCGAGTCAGGTGCTTCTCTGCGCGCTGCGGTTGGGTGGAAACACCCGCCTCACGGAGGTTTTCGATGGTGGCCTGCAGGAGAAGATGCACTTTCTGTACTTCTTTAAGGGTGAAAAAGTCAACCTTTCACTAGTGGGGCCGTGAGTAGGAAAAGGATGGTCTCCGTCTGTTGGCAAAATCCGTACCCCCCAGGCGCCGTGGGGATGCTTAGCTCGGTTGTGGGAGCCACTGAGCCCCGAGGGGAAGGATTGCTGTCGGGAAGAAGAGTTGCGTGAGCTCTCCCATCTGTCTTCGCGAATTGAGTTGAATCCGTCAGTGGGCCGAGAGAGTATCCATTGCAGATTGGAGCAGAAGAGAGGTCTGTAGGACGGATGTCTCAGGAAAGAGGTCAGAAGATACGAAAACTGAAAATAGCAGTATACGCACGCTGTGAAGAACTGTGGAGATAAAATTTGGAAGAAACGCTTGAAAGAATTGAAGCTGGTTGCCTATGGAGAAGGGAAGGGAAAGGGACAGTAGTTATCTAGTATAAGCCTCGTAGAATTATTTTACATTTAAAACAGAATGCAAACATTACTATAGTAAAAATAAAACNAAGCTGGTTGCCTATGGAGAAGGGAAGGGAAAGGGACAGTAGTTATCTAGCATAAGCCTCGTAGAATTATTTTACATTTTAAACAGAATGCAAACATTACTATAGTAAAAATAAAACTTAAATAAAAGTCTGTAGTAAAAAAACTACATTACCGAGTATCAGTTGCATACATCCTTCATGAGTACAGCCATTTGCTCAAGTGTGTAGAATTTATATTGTGCTTAGTAGGATCTCCTAAAAAGTTTACTAATACACCAAATTTTTAGTGAGGTGAACTAGGATTAGCAGTTGCTGTTGTTGTTTGTTGTTGTTGGAGGAGGAGGAAGAAGGGATCATTGCATTAGATCAAGGGCAAGAGCACAGAAATTTGAAGAAGCAGTTCTTTATATATTATTAATTGTCTAAGTAAAAATGCTTTTTACATCCAACAATAATGGGTGAATAATAGAGATTTTGGTATATCCTTAGGACAAACATTTGGCAGTCACATAAAATTTGCATTTTAGCGGAACATTTAATGACAAAAATCACATAGGTTGTTAAATTTAAAAGGCAGGAAATTGTATAATATAAAAAAACATACTATAGTTTTAAAAAGTAAAACTATGCCTAGAAAAAAAACTGGAAGGAGTCAAGGGCGATTATTTTATATATGTTTCCTCCTCCCCCGTCCCTTTACCTCCAGTTTTCTACAGTGAACATGTATTAAATAACTATGTTTCTATAGTGATTTGCTGACAGAACTGAGTTTATAAAGATATCATTTACTCCATGCTGCTTTACTTCTAGGTTCCTTGATATTTGCAAATTTTACTGGGAATAATATAGTCACATCTAAAGCGATCCCTGTAATTAAGTGTACTTTTGCATTGGGGCCAGGGGAGGGAAGTTACACAGCTACAAAATAGCTGTTGTGTTCCTTGTAACTAAAAAAAATCATATAATGAGACAAATAAGTATAACTAAAAGACATGTAAACTTTATTGCTTTATATGTGTATAGGCTGATTCTGCATTAGAATTAGATGTGCCTTTTTTTTTTTTTTTTTTTTTTGGTTAATCCGCGCCTGAGGATATTTTTTCCATTGATTTTTAGAAAAAGTGGGAGGGGGACAGAGAAAGAAACATCGATGTGAGAGGGACACATCGATTGGCTGCCTCCCGAACACACCCTGACCCGGGCAGAGATGGAACCTGCAACCCAGGTATGTGCTCTTGACCAGGAATCAAACCCAAAACCCATAGGTGCAAGGGCTGATGCTCTGTCCACTGAGCCACACCAGCTAGGGCAAGGGTCTGTCTTTTTTATCAGGCTTTTAGGGTGTAAAAACATACAGGATGTACAGGGGCTGTCATATTTTAATACACTGAATTAAAAATGTACATACAGAATGCCTACTACAGGGATTGTGCTAGGATATTATGATAATCAGTGGATGTGTTCCCTGCCCTCATGGAGCATATAGAATGAAAAGGAAGATAAATGATTAAATAAGTAACTACAAAAACTTGATGAGTAAAATGATTGGGAAAATACAAGGGAAACATCTGGTGTGGTGAACCTCTCAAGACCTAATGTTTAAGGTTTAAAAAACTCTTAGTACCTTGACATAGAGGGTGCTTGTACATACTTGTTTAATTGGTAAATAAAAAAGATCCTGTAAGTCAGTTCTTGGGCTGACTCATGGATTCATATACAGTCTTTGATTAAGAATACAGTACAACCAAGCTGGCATGGCTCAGCAGTTGAGCGTCAACTTATGATCCAGGCATCACAGTTTGATTCCCATTCCAGGCACATGCCCGGGTTACAGGCTTGATCCCCAGTCAGGGGCTTGCAGGAGGCAGCCGATCAATGACACTCTCATTATTGATATTTCTCTCCTTCTTCTCGCTGAAATCAATAAAGACATATTTAAAACAAACAAAAAAAAACCCCACTGCATTAAGAGCTCCAAACTGAATGCATTTCCAGGCTCATGTGTAAACGTGCCTACACCCCTTAATAGGTCAGGGATCCAAAAGACTAAAGCTAACCCAGGGCCAAACTAAACTTTCAGGGTAACTCTTGAAATATTGAGATTGATAGGCTGAGCATTCATCTCTAAAACTAACCTAGGTCTGGACTACAGCCAAATCTGCTGGGGAGGAGGGATAGGAAGGAGTGTGATTTATCTAGCACTTAAATTTTTTTTCCCCTTTTGCAGGAAGTCATTATGTGACTAACACATTTTCATCAGATTTCCTCTGATTTACCCTGAAGTGTATGTGAGAATGATGTGCACTGCCAAGAAATGTGGAATTAGGTTCCAGCCTCCAGCTATTATCTTAATCTATGAGAATGAAATGAAGGGGAAAAGTCGCCAGCGCATCATGCCTGTCCGAAACTTTTCAAAGTTTTCAGGTACCTCATGTTTTGTCTTGCCTGCTATCTTAAATATTCTCTAAAACACTTAATAAAAACGATTTGAATCTTATGTAATGGTGTGAAAGGGTGTTCAGAGTTAAACAGACCTAGATTCAAATCATGTCTCTTATCAGGGTAGATGTGTGACCCTGGCTAAATTACTTAACTCTCAGTGAGCTTCAGTGTTCTAATCTGTAAAAGGAAATTGATAATCTCCACCCTTTCAGAATTGCTGTGTGGGTTAAATGAAATAGCATTATTCAATAATGTTAATTTCCTTCTTTCCCTCCAAATGTGTTTTTTTTTGTAGTCTTGATATTTTCCTAATACCAGCACTAACATGTAAAGGTGTAATACTGCTGCTTCTCGGACATTTTCTCCAGCTGAAAGTGTTTAACATCTCCTCAAAGTGATTTTAAGTTAATAAAATAAAAAATGCATCCATCCCTCCTTCCTCTAGCACACTCGAAGCTCAATATAAAAAAATAGTTCTGCAGAATAATTTGTTCCACAAAAGCCACTTAGCTACTTGGCTATAATGGCAGATAATGCTGTCAGTAGTTTGTGATATACCAGTAGTTTGTGGTGTATAGGCTCTGTGTGGTATATAGTTTTGTTTCTTCCCTCCTAGATTGCAATAGAGCTGCTGAACAATTAAAGAATAATCCACGACACAAGAGTTACCTGGAACAAGTGTCCCTGAGACAGCTAGAGAAATTATTCAGTTTTTTACGAGGTTACTTGTGGGGCCAGAGTTTGGCCGAAACAATGGAACAAATTCGACGGGAAACAACCATTGATCCTGAGGAAGACCTGAACAAACTAGATGACAAGGAACTTGCCAAAAGGAAGAGCATCATGGATGAACTTTTTGAGAAAAATCAGAAGAAGAAGGACGACCCAAATTTTGTTTATGACATAGAAGTTGAGTTCCCACAGGATGAACAACTGCAGTCCTGTGGCTGGGACACAGAGTCAGCTGACGAGTTCTGAGATCAAAAACAAAACTTTCTTGGTCTAGCAGAAACTCCATGTTTATACAGAGAATGTAGATTAGTTCTAGAAAAATCTGTAAAGAACACTAAGTGTACATGTTGGGTCATATTTGCTGTTACTTTTCAAAACTAGGACCTATAAAGCATCTACTATGTAGATGCATGAGGAATATAGAGAAAACAGAATAGAGAAATCTGACTTTAATTAGCTTGTGAAAAGCTAATTAACAGTATTAGGCAGCAAAAAGATTGAAGCCAAATGCTTAATAAAGGCAAAAAAGGGTCGGAGCCTAGATTACTGTAGAGTAGAATAGTTAGGGAAGACTGTCCTTTAGTGGCAAGATGGGACTTTGCCTGGCCCTTGAAGTGGCAGTATTTGAATAGAAGCTTACATAGGATTCCAGATGGGAGAAATTGGGCTAGGAGGGGGTAAAGCGATAGGACTTAGAAAGTTTTAATTGAGGGGCAGTAGGCAAATTATAGTTTGATAACATTGGCAGGCATATATGTTTACTGGGGGATTATCCTGTATGCATTGTCTTTACATATATTTAACTCTGTTTTATAAGNTGATAACATTGGCAGGCATATATGTTTACTGGGGGATTATCCTGTATGCATTGTCTTTACATATATTTAACTCTGTTTACTTAATTTTGGAATAGAAGAGTACCGCTGCACAATGCCCTACAGGGCTGCCAAGTGCATGTCGTTTGATGGACAGCAGGGGAATTCTGCCCCTCCAGTATCAGGAAATGTACACCAAAGACATTCGGAAACCGTGAACCTCTTCCCATATATAAGAAATTTGTTTGTAAAATGGGGAATCTACCCATAATAAATGAACAATAGGTACTGCCAGTCTGGGCCTATTTGTAAATTTGGATCTACAAAGAGAAGATTTTTGTTGAACAAGGTTATATGTGTACAGATACATCTTTCTTCTTATATTATTATTATTTTAATTGGTAGAAATCCTGTGTTTTCTGCAAGGAAATTAATATTCATTAAATAAAACTGTAAAAATTACTTATTCTTTCTACCTGTCCATTTCTACTCTCTTTACCATTAAAAGCCCCATTAAAGGGATCATTCTTATGGTGATATCATCAGGGACTAAAGATGGTCATGATTCATATGTATATTTGCCGTAGGTAGCAAAAGAATTTTCAGAATTGGAGATTCTTTCATATCTACATAGTGTTCTATTGTATAGATGTAAATAATATATTTTAAAAGTTGACCTTAGGTTGTTCTCCCCTTTCACTATTACAAACAATACCACAGCAAATAACCTTGTACATTCTCTGTTTTGCATGACTGTGAATAATGCATAGAGGGGGATTGCTGGGCATGTGCATTCTAAATTTTTTTTTAATTTATCTTTATTGTTGAAAGTATTGCAAATGTCCCCTTTTCCCCCCCATTGATCCCCTCTACCTTGTACCCCTCCCACCAGGCCTTCACCCCACTATTGTCTTTGTCCATGGGTTTGCATATATGCATATAAATTCTTATGTTAATCTCTCCCCACTCACTCCTGCCTTCTCAGATTCTTCAGTCTATTCCATGCTTCTTTGTCTCTGGATCTATTTTGTTCATCGGTTTATATTATTCATTAGATTCCACATATGAGTAAGATCATGTGACACTTGTCTTTCCCTGACTGGCTTATTTCACTTAGCATAATACTCTCCAGCTCCCACCATGCTATCTCAAAGGGTAAAGGATCCTTTGTTTTTGCAGCTGCATAGTATTCCATGGTGTAGATGTCCGAGAAGATGCTTGATATGATTTCAGACTTGAACTTGTGGAGACTTGTTTTGTGTCCTAACATGTGGTCTTTGAGAATGTCCCATGTGTGCTTGAGGAGAATGCCTTTTCTGCAGCTTTGGAGAGGAATGTTCTGTAAATGTCAAATCCATCTGATCTAGTGTGTCATTTAGAGTCACTGTTTCCTTGTTGATTTTTGCCTGGAAGATCTATCCAGTAAAGTCAGTGGTGTGTTAAAGTCCCCTGCTATGACTGTATTGCTGTCAATCTCTCCTTTAAAGTCCTCCAGAAATTGTTGGTTTTTTGTCAAAGCTGTGTGAGTCTTTTGTTCTGAGGTGGGTCTCTGGTAGACAGCATGTATTTGGGTCTTGTTTTTTTATCCATCCAGCTACACTGTGTCTTTTGATTGGGATATTTAATCCATTTATAGTTAAGGTTATTATTGATAGGTACTTATCTATTGCCATTTTATTTCTTTATGCCTATGTTTCTCATTCTCTCTATTTCAACTTTTTATTACAGCAGTCCCTTTAACATTTCTTGCAATGCTGGTTTGGTGGTGACAAACTCCTTTAGCCTTTTTTTTTTGTCTGGAAAGCCCTTTTTTTCCACGATCTATTTTGAGTGATAGCCTTGCTGGATAGAGTAGTCTTGGTTTCAGATCCTTATTTTGCATTACCCTGAATACTTCATGCCATTCCCTTCTGGCCTGTAGAGTTTCTGATGAAAAATCAGCTAACAGCCTTATGGGAGCTCCTTTGTAGGTAACAGATTGCTTTTCTCCTGCTGCCTTTAATATTCTATCTTTGTCTTGAGTTTTGGGTATTTTAATTATGATGTGTCTTGGCATGGGCCTCTTTGGGTTCTTCTTGCTTGGGACTTTCTGTGCCTCCTGAACTTGTGTGACTTTTTCCTTCACCAAGTTAGGCAAGTTTTCTGCCATTATTTCTTCAAACAGGTTCTCTAACCCTTGCTTACTTTCAACCTCTTCTGGCATTCCTATGATGCAAATATGGTTACATTTCGTGTTGTCCCACAGCTCCCTTAAACTATCCTCCTGTTTTTTAATTGTTTTTTCTTTTTGGTTCTCTGAGTGATTTTTTCTACCTTGTCTTCTAATTTGCTAATCCAACCCTCGACTTCCCCTAATCTGCTGTTCATTCCTTCCAGTGTTCTTTTTTTTATTTCTACTATGTCATTCTTAATTTCCTTCATAGATTCTATTATCTTTTTTCATGCTGTGAAGCATCTTTATGATCAGTATTCTGAACTCTATATCTGATAGATTGCTTATCTCCCTTTCATTTAGCTCTTCTTCTGGAGAATTCTTTTGTTCTTTCATTTGGGGCTTGTTTTCTTGTCTCCTCATTTTGACTGCCTGTTTGGATTTGTTTCTATGTATAAGGTAGACCTGCTAGGACTCCCAGTCTTTCGGATGGTCTCTGGTGCAGTCCAATGTCAGATGCTTTTGTGATTGGCCTTGAGTACCCTGTTTGAAGTTTTCCATACTCCACAGCTTTTGGTTTCCTCTGTTGGGGCTGGATGTGTTTGGACAGGACCAAGATGTGCACCAAGGTCTGTTTTTCCAAGCCTTGGGTCCAGAAGCAAATCAGGCAAAGACTTGAAGAACCCAGAGGCTATTATTCAGTCTCTTAATGAGCCTCAGGCTGTAGCTACTCCACAGGGTGGGCCAAAGATTTTCCAGCAGGGTGGGGCAATTGCTTTCTCTCCTCCAGGCAAAAGCTGCTTGGAAGGTAAATGTCTGCCTGAGAAAGATGTCCTCTCCATATGGGGAAGTGACTCAGCACTGGGGTCCAGATGGGTGTTCTCTGAGATCTGTTCCCCCAACCAGCTCCCCTGGGTTCTCCTCACACAGCTCTAGTCCACTCTGCCTCTGCTAGAGCCCAAGGTGAGTGGCTGCATGCAAAACTTTGTGTGTTGGCCCTTTAAGAGGGTGCCTGCATTTCCAGCCATCTCTCCCTAGCAGACAGAAACCCTGCTGTTTTTCACAGCCAGATCTTAGGTGGGCACCTTTCTCAGTACATGTACTCTGGGCTGGGGAGCCCAGCTTGGGGTTTAGACCCCAGAGCTCTCAATGGGAATCCCTCACAACTGAGATATTCCTCTGGACCTTCATCTGCTGCTTGTGGGAGCCCAGCCAGCCTTTTCACGCCTCCACACTTCCTACCATCTCTATGTGGTCTCCACTTTTCCTTCTCGGTTATGAGGGTGCTCCCNCTCCACACTTCCTACCATCTCTATGTGGTCTCCACTTTTCCTCCTCGGTTATGAGGGTGCTCCCCTAGTCTTCAGTTGCAGTTGATTATTCAGGGTGGTTTTTCTGTATTTTAGTTGTAATTCCAGTTTGGTCCTGGGAGAGTGTTAGTGTAGCTTCCATTCAATCTGCTGCCATCTTGGATCTTATTTATTCGCATTCTAAATTTTAACAGATATTGCTGTTTTCCTCCAAAGAGGTTCGTTCATTCATTCATTCAATAAACACTGAGTATTTACTCTATGGAAGCTCCCCAGGACATTTTAAAAGGACCAGCTTTAATGGAGAGGGAAGAACAAGAGAGAAGACTGACAGACCAGTTATACCAGGGACAGGTTTAGGCTTATGACATCAGTCATCTTAATGAAGCAGGTGGAGCCATCTGATTATAGTGAGACTGGAAAAGAGCTAGGGTTGAGAAATGAAAAACACTAGAAAGGGTGGCACTAGAAGGCAGGTCTGGCAAGTTGTGACCTGTGAGCTTGGGAGAAAGCAGTTAAAGCAATTGGGTCAGAGAAGGGAAATGCTGAGGTATGAGATCTCAGAAGTTTAGCAAGTCCTAGTAGTGATGACATCCAGCATCTGAACTTTTCAGACCAAGACTGGATAGAGAGGGAAGTCCATAAAACCAAAAAAGTTTTGGAGTCTTGAGATTAGGGAGTCTGGAGGAGCAATAACTCAGATAATCAAAGATCCTGGGAACACTGATGAGGGGCAAAGAGGAGATGAAAATTAGCCAGATCCTAAAGTCATTTGGGTAGGCATAAAATGCTTACTATTGTTTTGGGCAATTGCATCAATAATTTGAAGAAGAAAATGCAGAAGGATGGAATTAATAGTAGATGTTTAGCTCAGGTTGGATGGTCCAGTTGGTTGGAACACTGCCCCATACACCAAAAGGTTGTGGGTTTGATTCCCAAATCAGGGTTCATACCTAGGTTGTCAGTTCCATCCCTGGTTGGGATGCGTATGGGAGGCAACCAATCGATGTTTCTCACATCAATATTTCTCTTTGTTTTCTTTCTCCCCTTCTTCTCTCTCTAAAAATCAATAAAAACATATCTTCAGGTGAGGATTAAAAAAAAAAAAAAGTTAGAAAATAATGTTTAGAAAGAGGGAGATAAAAAAAAGTACAGAGGAGAAAAGTGATAAAAGATTAGAGGGTTTGTTGTGGGGGTTTTTTTAAGTCAGAAAAAAGTTCTAATATGTGTTCCACCAGAAGAAGAAAAACAAAAACAAAACAAAAGAGCCTAACAAAATTGGTAGTACATGTTTAAGACAAACAGGATATTCTTTAAATTGGATGCTCCTTGTTCCCAACCTAAATATGACCACCCTAATGTAGGAACTTTTCCCTTTCTG